ATTAAATAAATAGATAGACAAATAGATAGGTAAATAAATAGATAGACAAACAAACAGATAAATAGATATGTAGACAAATAGATAAAGAGACAGACAGATAGATAGACAAATAGATAGACAAATTTAAAATAGATAGATATATAAATAAATAGATAAATACCAAGCGTCTGAATGGCAGTTACCCCACGGAGTGACGATTTCTCTCTGACCTGATTTCCCCAGGCCGTGTGTGCTCAGGGTGGGGAGGCTGTAAAACCCCACGGACAATGGAAATCACAGAATTTCCTAAAACCCACACGTCCAAACAGCATCTCATGGGCTGGAAATGTGTGTTCTGAGAGCGATGTCCTGGCTCATTCACGGCCCAGGCAACGCCATCGTACTGCGCTTCTCTAGATGCCAGCAGAAATGGCTCCAGGAGTGCTGGGCAAGCTCCAAACCTGTAAATTTACGTCAAAACGTGGCTCTTCTAATTCCCGATATCTTACATCTGGCTTTTAATTTCACAAATGGGTCAACAAAGGGCAGGCGAGCAGGGAACCAGGTCACACAGAGCGAGAGGTTTAGGGCTTCCAGGGGTTTATCCCTCAGGCAAACGCGCCTGCGCGAGCCCTGAGGGACAAACCACAGCAATATTATCTTTAAAAGATTTTGCAGTGAGAACTGCAGAGTGGCTCAGTCCTTTTCTATACTGTTGACTTCATTCAGAAGTTAGGTTAGGTCTCACAAACACAATTAAATCGATTTTTGCAGGTTGAGAGACCTCAAGTGAAATCCTGGTTTTCCTGTTGCTTACCCAAGCCAACGGTTCTTGTAGTCCATCCCCCTCAAAAAAAACCCCAAAAAACAATATCGGGGCTGAGACTGGTCCTCTGAAATCACATAATCTGCCAGATAAAACCACTCCAGCAAACATGGTAACGTGTCTGATGATATTTACTATATACAACACCACAGCACAAGAATATGAAAAAACCACATGGTTTTAATTCATTCTATAAATGTGCTCTACCTATTTACAAGTTATCCAAAATATCTGCCTCAAACCAAGCAATGGCAGCTGATTCAGCTATTAATTACTTATTTTGCAAAAACCTTGTGTATCAACGACATCAAACCTGAGCTCAGGAGGGTGAGTCTGTGCGAGGACAAGGGGAAAGGGGACTGGGAACAAAAACACCTCCAGTTAACGATGTCGATAATCTGACTTGCTTCAAGGCAAGCATGAGAGACTGCAAGAGCCAAAACTTCACATTTCTGTTTGGACTTTTCACAAAAAGAAAGGTTTAGGCTGTGAACAGTAAAAAGGATGTTATGCTTTAACATAAAAACTACAATATACGCAACAGAAGAACCACAGTGTGCTTCTCTTTTTATTCTTTATTTTACAGTTCACAATTAGAAACCTACTGATGAATTACACAGTTCACCCCCTAAGTTTGGGGTTTTTAAATGCTTTGGGGTCACACTGCCAATCCCATCCCAAGAAGGTGGCTCAAGGTGCCATCAGGTAACACGAGGCAGAGCGGCCAAACAACCTGCACCAAACCCCTTTGTGGCTCCGTTTCACAGGGGAAATGAACAGGCAAGCAGGGATTTTCCCCTAAAATCACATTTGAAATGGAAAAATATACTGGAGATCATTTCAAAGTTATTTTATAGGCTTGCTTGGGGGAAAACCAAACAAACAAACAAAACCACAACCCAAAAACCCTGCAAACTTCTAGGGCTGCAGGTCAGCCAGGCTGTATTTGCAGGGAGCAACTGCCCAGCCTGCCCCTTTTTTAAGCTCCTAATCTTAAGCAATTCCTTCCAGAGTCTCCTTTTACAGAGCAGAAGGATGTTAGGTCCCTCCTCAGCCATGCATTTCAACTGTTTGACTTCATACACGGCCACCAATTCAGATGTTTCACCAGCACTTCCCACATCCCTGCTCATGGGTGTTTTTTCCGCTCAGAAGTTTCTAATTTCTCAATTTTTTTGTTTTTTTTCGCTTCCAGCTCCTAGTTCAAACATCTTCCCTTAAAAAGAGGCCAGAGCACATCTGCCGAATTTCAACAAGGTCCTGCAAAGGAAACCCTTACGAAAAACACCAGGATTTTTCATATCAAGTCTAGCTGAACATCACAGGGACATTATTAAAAAAAATTAAAAATGCACTGTAGTGCCTGAACCTTCCTTAGCCAAGTGCCTCCAAATCGAGGACTGGGGACTGGAGAACTTTTCCAGCCAGTGCAGGCTCTGCGGTGAGGATGGCTGGCTGCGCGCAGACGGCAACTGGCTGCTCCTTGAGGGACACGATCTAACCCAGTGCCGCGGGTGAAAGCCAGCTCCGTGCACAGAACCCACGCAAAGCCACCGCCTCGGCAGGGCAGAGCGTTGGAGCAGGGCACGAATTTCACTCACAGCAAATGAAAAGCCCCTGTCCAGAGACAAGGCTACGTGTACTTGCCATTAGAAACTAGTGACGGATGAGGAATGGACAGCACACACCATGAGCATGTATTTATAAAGAGGAAAATAAGGGGCAAATTGCCTTTGTTTTGCTATTACGAAGGAACGTTTTATCGGTTTTCTCCTTGTATCCTTCTACAGCTGCTCACTTTTGGCACAAGGAATTCTATGTATCACAAGATTTAATTAATAATAATACTTCGAAATCAACACTCAGCGCTTATACAGCGCTCCTCATATTCAAAGTGCTTTACAAAAAGTTTGTGAGCCCTCACAACACCCCTGTGAGGTAGGTAAGTGTTATTATCATCCCCATTTCACAGATGGGGAAACTGAGGCAGAGAGGTAAAGTGACTTGCCCAAGGCTTTCTAGGGAGTTGAAACTCATGACATAGCAGCCCAATTCTGCTCTCCCTTATGGTGGTGTAAGACATGAACTCCCACAGAGCTATACTGGTGTAAGCAAAACAACCCGACCCAAGTTTCTCTGGCTCTAATCAACTGACCAGCTCCACCTCAACCAAGGGTTCACCTTCCAAAACACTGACAGAAAAGCCAGAGCGCAGCAGGAGCGAGCCTGCAACCTTAAGGCAACGCATACGTTAACAGCTCCACAGCTCTGCAGCAAGCGGGACCACATGCAGACGTGCTTCGGCCACGCTGTGAGAGCCTTCAGACAACTCCAGCAGTCTCCAGCCCTGCACGTTATCAGAGGCTGATTCTCTTCTCCCTCAAGTTAAGAGTAAATCCAGAGCAAAACAACGGGGCTGCACCAGCGTAGAACGAGTACGAGATCCGAACCAGACCCTTTTACCTGCTGCGTCGTAGGCAAATGCCCCTAACGAACACCTTTTCATTTTGGACAGCTTCGGCATGGTTCATTTCTCTCTCTCTCTCTCTCTCCGAATTTGTATCTCTGCGCATAAAGAAACTTCCGACATTTCCAGCTCATCAGCGCCAGCCTTTAAACAGCCCTGTACATCTGTCTAAGAGCGATCAATATTTCCAGAAAAGTGTCAATGCATGCAAATATCACATCAAAAAAACCATCAAGAGTGCTGGGAGATGATAGAGGTGATCACAAGACAGCACACATTTAGTTTTTATTAAAAATACCAAACAACTCACTCTTACTGTAACTATGCCACTTAGGTGATCATTCAAACCTGCAGAAGTACAGGTACTTTTCCTCCAACTATTTACCTACCCACCTAGAAAGAAAGAGAAATAGCAAGCACACACATTTATACGTCCTCAAACGTCCATGTGAACGAGAGAGGAGGGTCTGGGGAGGTGGGTGAGATTCTACACTGGGTTTAGGGCAGGGAAGTATAAAAGAAATAGAGAATATCACATGCATCATTACCATCAGTAATCAAATCTGATGAAAACAACCCCAAAATTCGACAGATTCATGTACGACATCCACTGAAAATCTCAAAACCTAAGCACACTGAAGCCGGCAAACATCTTGTGCCACTTCACCTATGTCCAGACGCAGCATCAGCAAGTAAGATCAAACAAACCTTGAAAAGAAAGCAAAAGGAAGAATAAACCAGCCTGGAGACAACAATCTTCCACAAACCACTTCCCTGCATTATTTTCAAACATGTTTTTCTCTTGAGCAGTTTCATAAAAGAGTGAGGGAGAAAGAGACCCACTCCTATTTCCTTTTAAACTGGCTCAGCACCAGCACCAGCTCAGAGAGAGGGAGAGACAAAGAATTCTTCAAACACAGTCCTTGGTACTTGATTACATAATTGCTAGCCAGCCGCCGACACCCTAAAATTGCCGGAAGGTTCGAAGTGGAGTGGATACCCGGTGCTGCTCACGGTCCTCTTCGTCCGCTATGATATCTGCTCCGTGGGCCTCATCTGTATGTCTCCGATCTAAAAGAGACCAACAGAAGATTTCACTGAAGCACTGAAGCTCATTTGAAACCCTGCCCTGTTCCCCACTGCACCATTTACAGCCATAAGCTGCACGTAAAGGAAGTTCCTGTGACTAGAAATAAGCCAGCCTAACTGAGATATTAAAAAGAAATAAAAGGTGAATGCGACTGCTCTGCCTTTAGCAGAAGGGATAAAAAGCAGAAACGTGTGCAGAAAAGAGCGCAAGATGACATTCCCTTGGTCAAGCCTTTGGTTTGGTCCTGCTCACAGAGGCTCAAGCAGCAGCACCGCTCGACTGGCCATGGGCAGGACTTTTTATCCTCTTAAGGGCAGCTATTGCCACTGATGCAATGTAAGGACGGCCACATCTTCCTCCAGAGGAGCAGAGTTCACGCGAGGGGCTGCTAGACCTCTCACGATCCATGTTGGCTTTTGCAACAAGAACTTTTATCTTGCATATACTAACCTTTGACACTCCTCCTGCCTCCAGCTCAAAACCGGTCACATGTTCGTTGTTTCTCAGGAGGGAAGTCCCTGGAAGTCCCCTTCCCCCAGGAAGACAGCACAAGCATCTCACCACCCTTGGGTGGATCTTGGCAGGATCAGGCCCCAAGACATCATTTGGCAACCAGCAGAACCTGACACCCAGCTGCAAGACTGTCAGCAAACCTCAGATGGCACCATCCAAAAAAAAAAAGGGGGGGGCCAGAAAGCACCCACATCTCTCCCGTCCCCTCCTGCCTTGCGTCATCCTCCTCTGGGCTTGGAGCAGCCGTTGCCGGATCCACAGGGCTGCGACAGCCCTGGCAGGGCAATCCCATCACGTAAACAAACGTGATCGCTGCTAATCCCCAGCCCAGGCTCCGAGTGGCTGTGACACCGATTAGCAAATGTCGGGGCAGCGGTTCCACTCTCCACCTTCAGCCACCTGCTGCAGCATCCTCCAACCCAACCACAGCCTACCTGTACGTGAGGTGGGGCGCTGAGGACATATATGACAGCGTTAGCCATATCTTCAGCTTTGAGACACTGGAAAGAAAGGAGAGAGGTTCTCAGCCAAAGGGCACTTCAGAAAGTTAACCGCGAGATCACTCCTCTCCTAACCATCAGTCATGAGCTCTGACAGTGTCACCAGGGGCGTGTCAAAGAGATGCGAACAAGCAGGAAAAAAAATCCATGAAAAATTTAACAAGGGACACGCGTGGTGCTGATAATTCTCCATTTGCTGTGAATAATCATACGACAGGCGTTCTGCCATTCTTATCAAAAATTCTCAGAGAAGCACACCAAATTCTGCGCTGGCCACCTGCAAGACAACACACTCTCGCTTTTCTCCTTGCACAGACATGTTTGTTTATTATATTTTCTCTTCAGTAGAGAAGCCATAGCCTGCAAAATGTCAAAAGCTGACTGATATTTATTTACAGGAACACTAAAATAAAAGGAAAAACATAGGGAGTCAGAAACTGAATCTGAAGGAAAATCTACATAGTGTGTAAATACCAACGCAAAAATCTGAGGTGTAAATGCTTTGGGGATGCCAATCCCATTCTGGAAAGCACTGGGCACTCCGCAGAACTAGTTCCTCGTGCTGTTAGAGACTGTTAAGCTATAATCAGAGTCACTTCCCTCTGTTTCCATTTCTCCAGGTCCTACCCGAATGCTCTCATAGGTTGCAGCAGCTCTCTCAGGGTCGTTATCGTGAAGTTTAAAAGCAAATCCCGTTTCCACCAGTCCTGGAGATATACACTGGGGAAAAAAAACAGGCAGAGCACATCCTAATAGGATTTGTAATTCCCCTTCAGTAAAAGAACATAAGAAAAGGAGATAAAACTTTTAAGCACTGAAAAAGCCAAAAGAAAACCCCCAGCCCAGCCCCCTTTCTGTTGTACTCCTTCCTCACCCTTATTCTAAGGGAACAGTGCAAGTGAGCAGGCTTTGCCTTAATGATTGTTGCAGCAGGCACCTCTGGGGAACCACGGGTGGGTACTTCCCTCTTCATGCCCCTTTTTTGGCATTTCTGTGCACTTTTTTGGCATTTCCGTGCACTTTTTTGGCATTTCCTTGCCTGTTTATCCAAGGGAAAACCTCTACCGCCCACAAAAGCAGGAGAGAGCCCATAGTACTCACTGTAGCTCGTATATGAGTCTTTGCTTCTCTGAGTTCTTGCCTCAGCCCCTCCGTGAGGGCTGTCACGGCGTACTTGGTGGCACTGTAAAAATGCACCACCGACTGTGGCACAACGCTGTGGCCGTTCATGCTGAGGAGAGAGCAGAAAAGAAAGCGCTGAGAGGCGAGCAGAGTCCCGAGAAGAAACCAAACGGATATTCAAACTGCCAGAACGACCGCAGAAAGAGGCGTCAACATGGTGGCAACACGAGGAACTCCCCTCTCCTGCAGGAAACGCACGTCACCAGCGGCCCCTCTCGACACAGCTGGTTCCTGGAGCTGGTCGAGAAGTTTCAGTCTTCAACCTTGCACCATCACGAGCAGTTACCATTATCCTTTCTCCCCGGTTTGGTCTTTTTTGCATTTAGACCAGCGGAGGTTAAAATCAACCACCGCAATCCTTGGAAAACCCCTTTTGGGCACTATCAGCCCACTCTGAGATTAAAGCTTCCCTGCTTAAATCCTCTCTGTGAGGCAGGGAGGAGGAAGCCCACGTGGCTGATCCCACATTCCCCCCCTGCCGCGTACCTGTTAATGTTAATAATATGCCCATCATCAATGTTTCTCTCTTTCATGGACTGGTAGGCCTCTCGGGTGCAGATGCTCACAGCCATCACATTGACCTGAGGGAAGCGAAAAGAAGAAGAAACTAAAACCAGCAGCCTCGCCCGGAATCCTTTGACTTGCCCCCCGGCACACCCGAACCCACGGGCGCAGGTTCCAGTCCCCGATCCACTGCAATTCTTGCAAATGCCAAAAGAGGGAAATACACGTACACACCCTCCATATCACATTGTGACTAATCTGGGGGCTGCGGTCACAAGGGGTTTGGGCAGGACAGGCACAGATACCCAGTCTTGTGAGGCAGCCTTGGCCCCTGCCAGAAATAAATGGATTTTATTGTTTTAGGGGCGAGTGTGAACATAGAGCATGAAGTAAGGGAGAACAAACCCACTTCCCCACAGTCAGCACTCTGTCCAGGAGACAAAGTTGTTTATTTTGTGCAGCACTGATGTTTGTGCAGCTGATAGGACACTAACAGCAGGTAATTAGGTCAGCTAGTTAACGAGGAAATCCCCAGATATTGCCTGTCAGAGAGCCAGGCGCTCAGAGCCACTGCAAACCACATGGCCAGCAAAGCGCCTCCCCTGCACAACCAGAGCCAGAGATGCCATCGTGCCACGGGGAAGGCCAGAGTGGACAAGTAACCCTGCAGCTACGAAATCTGTCATGCTGTCTGCTGACATTTTCCTCAGCCTTGCCTGGATAAGCCAAGGAAGAAAGGACACGGCAATTTATCCAGTCCTTTAGCACAGGATCCAGAGCTTCCCAGGCTCTTGCTCTTTGGACCAGCACTTCCCAGCACACTGTGGCTTGGTTAAACTCAGTCATATTGTCTCTGCAATGTGGCACCATTAACGTGCAGGTGCCTGAAGCATTTGCTGACCATAAAACAAAGAGCCAAAGTTTCCAGGAAGATGGAGATACGGAAACTCCCCCAGCTGGAACACGAAGCGCCCAGAGGTGTGTGCAAGATCGACGTGCAAGTCATCTCAGCGGCAGCGCTAATTGCTTGAGTCTATAGTGGTTTAGATTTGGACAAATGGCTGAGAGGTAGAAAGGATGTAATCACTTCAAGGCAGAACACACTGGCAGGTCCTACCAAATATCCAGGCAGAACTAAATTTCTGATGAATCACAAGTCAGGAGGAGCAGCAGGAACAAAGATAGGCAAGAGGGCTGGCTATCACCACTGCAAAACTTAAAAGTAAGAATGGGGCAGGCTAACTAGGACTTGCTAGCACAGAAGGACGTGCAAGAGAGGAACATTAGTTTGGAGACCAGAAAGTAATGGGCAGACAGGGATGGATTTGAGAGATGTAATTACTGAGCAGCACACAAAAGACAATCAGGGTCAGCTGAAGGATCTTCAGGTCACTGCTTTTGCATCAGTCATTACTTCCCCTTCATTACTAGAGACCATGCTTGTGAGTTGTTGTCTTGGCATGTTTATCTGGTCTTGGAGTACCCAGGCAACACAACAAGAGGAGTCATCATCCTCATCTCAGTGCGCTTTGGTTGAGCACACAGTCACCACTGGATATCTCAGTCATCACACCTGGAACTAGAGAGATAAATTACCCTGCACCAGGTTGAAGATTTACGTTGGTTGTGCAAGGAAGAAAGTTAGCAGACGTGTCAGCAGAAGCAGCACCTCAGCACTGCAGCAAAGCTCAGAGGATTAGGGGCATCTAAAGACTTCTCCATTTCACAGTAAGCTGCGTCAAGGAAAGCAGCAGTAACCTGCTCCACTCTGATATCCTAACCAAGGGAAGAACTAGTCCTTTCACATACGGATCCGGGCAACTGTTAGTATAAAAAGCCTTTGCAACAAGCAAAATCCCTGGTTTCCTCCCCACCCCAGGACACCCTGGACCCGCCAGGCAGGCACCGTGTGGTTGTGCGGTCGCTCACCAATTCCACTCCACATCCACAGGCCACTAGAGGGTAACATCAGCCTAAAGCCTGGCACCCAGCTCCAACGCTGTGACTCACACCGAGCGACTCTTCCTTGAGTGGTAAGAGTTACAACATTTTGACAACTACTGGCAAAGCAAGATGCTAATCAACAGCCGCATGCGAAAGTCCAGAGCCCGTACGACAAGACACTCTGGTACAACAAAACAACTGGCTGGAAGGCAGCTGAGCAGGGATCGCCTCGCTGCCTTTTCCCAACAGCACCCACAGGATTTTTGGGTGAAATCCCATTTCAAAACACAGAACGGGCACTCAGGAACCTAAAAACATGCTTGGAAAATGAGCAAGGCTTAGTGCTGTAATGATGTGAGAAACAGTCTGAAGGCTGTCATTACAAATATCTACGCAAGACATTTTTCAGCCTCGTTCCGCTTTTAAGAACAAAAGGTACAAAGGTCCCTTTAGCAAAGAGGGCCAGCACATCTGTGCTCTGCCTTCACACAGCGTGCTGCGCAAGGCAGCAGGTCCGTGACCACCGCCTGCGTGTGCTAATGCAACAGAAACAATGAAGGCGCATTTTCTAGTAATTAATGAGTTCCAACTGCCAGGCTGGGAGAATATAAAAGATCCTGCCTCTGGAAAAGCCGAGCATTTCGCTTTCCAGAATCAGCCTTTTCTAAGGCATCAGAACGAGTATCCCACCTCCTAGGCGCATATAAAAACGCATGTTATGGACAACATATCTCTGCACAGATGGTATATAAAAGCAAAAAGAACAGAGCCTCGCTCTGTGAATAATGCTAAGAAGAATTAAACCCACTTAGTGTCCAGAGGATGTGTGCTCCAGTCCTTTGTGCCCTGAACGGTGCAAACGGAAAGTTCAGCTTGAATTCCTGGCTGTAAAGGTCAGTATGTAAAATGTGAAGGAGCCATTTGAATCCCAGAGCCTTGAGTCAGTGTGTACACAGCACCCAGTCCCAGCATCGGGGACGGCTGGAGGACTTTGCTCCAGCCTCGCGTCAAGCACAACCGCACAAACAAGTAGAGAGAAAAGGTGAGGGAAGATGTGAACCAAAAGACGACGGGCTCAGAACCTGCCTGTGGTAACACGCTCCCACCTCACAGACCGAATTAGCTGGCCGGCAACGCTGGGCTCTGCACCGCTGTAAAGCAACAGACACGATTCCCAACAGGAGACTCCTGCAGCCCACGGAGAAGCAGCTCCCCCCTCGGGAATGAACTCCACACGATAAGGAACATTAAAAGAGAGGAGGAATAGGCGAACGATGATACGATTTCAATTTGCTAGATGCAGAGCAGAAATTTTGCAGAATAGGTATACTGAGAGGGGAGTCTGGAAGGAGACGGAGCCTCAAAGCTCATAAAAAATGCATGGAAATAAAAATCAATTTACCCAAAAGAAAAAAAAGCCTTTAATTTAAGGCCCTAATGCCTCCTAAATCAATACATCGATGGCCGTTTAGAAACTTTTAGCTGTCTCACAGTCCAGGAGCACATCAAAACTCTCCAACAGCATCTCAAACCGTGCTGCCTTTCTCCAAGGGACCTTTGGAAGAAGCTTCCCTGCTCCCGCTCAGCTCTGCCAAAGCCCAGTGGCCCGTGAAAGGTGCTGGCAACCTTCCCGCATCCTGACCCTCCAAGAGCTTCAGAGCATGTCGGAGAAACGGGCCTGGCGAGTGTTTCCCCGGGGCTGACGTGCCGCAGCGGGGAGAGCTGTCACTGCAGATCCCTCCACGGGCCCGGCTGCCACGCCGGCGCCCGCACAGCCACCACGCGCTCGGAGGGCAAGATTTCCAAGCGGGGAGGGTGCAGCCACAAAACAAACAGGGGCACGCAGCAGGAAAAACCCTGAGCTATTTCAACCGCCTACCAGCAGCCTAAGAAGCAAAGTCCAGGCTTGTCAGGCTGCCGAGGCTGAGGTGGGTGAAGCGTTTGGCTCTGGAGCATCACAGGGCTTCACCTTTGCATTACAGGTGTCAGCATTATTCAGCTACAAGTCAAGAGCAAACCCAAGAGCAAATACCAGCTGCTGGAAGCTGGCGAGAGGAAAAAATCTGCCAGTAGAGGAAGAAAGTTTGGGTATCTCAGTCTGTTCCCAGGGCTACAACGGCATTTTTGCCAAGCAAGGAGAGCAGATACAGCCATACAGATCACCTCTGGGAATAAAACATGCTCCCCAGCCTGTCTTTCTGATTACTGCCCTGAGCCAGCACCCTGCCTCTCCTCCCATCCCATCTGTCACCCCAAAGTTGCTCCAAAGGGTGCCCACAGCAGCACCCACAAAGACGGGGAGGACCCCACAGGCTCCCAAACTTGGAGCCACTGTAAATACCAACACTGGAGTGCCTCATACAGGACAACCCCTGTTCCAAAAATCTTCCATACAGAAGGAGCACTCTCTCCTGAGCAGCGATGGAAGGGAATATGGAGATGGGAAGGGTCTTCAGCTGGCAAAAGCCATGTGTGTCCCCCCAGCACGCCCAACTTAAGAAGAACAAAAGGTCAGAAGAATAAACAAGCATGAGGGGGACACAGCATCCATGGAGTCTTCCACTCAAGATGTGATCACAGGACAAGGAGTTTACAAGGCGCAGGCGACCCGTAGGGCCAGGCTCACAGCGAGACAATTCTGGGAAATGCCCCGCTTCACACGGGCTCAGCCTCAGCTACACTGCACCTAATTTTCTTTAAAGACTCTATGGCAACCGTGGACGGGGAGATGTGGCTGTGCAGTGACCCAGGCTGGGCAACCCACAAAAGCCTGGCTGGGCAGACAAAGCTGAGCCAAGTTTGCTCTGGCTGCAGTCACAGCAACCAGCAGACCAGCCAAAATCCTAACAAGAACTTAATTAGCCAGGATACGGCAGCTCTTGCCCTGGCAGCAGGAGACTGAGGCCTCAAAGTACCTCTCCGTTTGGCTTTACACAGCGCCTGAAACTACTGCTGGATGAACAGCCACCGGCTGCTTCAGGAGCCGATGGATCCCAGCTGGCTCCACCGTCAGACGTCACGGTCCCAAGCAGCTTTTCCAATAGACACGTCGTTTCCTTCACTAGGACAAGCTCTCCTAGCTGCTGGAGGTGCTACAAGGCTTACTCAAATCCACGAATTCAACTCCTGTTCCCATGAGGATAATGCTTTCAGGCACAAAAAGTGGTAGGACAGGAGGGGACAATCACCTTCACATAAAGCTCCTGTTTCCAGACGTCACGGTCCCAAGCAGCTTTTCCAATAGACACGTCGTTTCCTTCACTAGGACAAGCTCTCCTAGCTGCTGGAGGTGCTACAAGGCTTACTCAAATCCACGAATTCAACTCCTGTTCCCATGAGGATAATGCTTTCAGGCACAAAAAGTGGTAGGACAGGAGGGGACAATCACCTTCACATAAAGCTCCTGTTTCAGCATCTCACCAGCCAGAGCTGCAGGAAGGCCGGTACAGACGGGCTGTTGCAAGGGCAGGCAAACTGACCCGGGGTCCCACAGCTGTGGCTGCCACTGCTACAAGCAGAAAAAGGCCATCGCATGGTGACAAAAGATGGTGAAGTCTCATCACAGCAGCACCTCAGGACAGCAAGACCCAGGGAGAAGCACTGCTAATAAACGGCACAAACTCCCAGCTCGGCATATGAAATTGCCTCGTTTGCATCCAGCTCTAACCAGATTACGGGCAGAAAAATTAAGCTTTAAAGACAAAAAGCATTACAGCTTTTTAAGCTCAAAAGAATCTGCCCATTTTACAACCCACTGCTACAACTAACAGGATTAGCTACAAAAGCCAGCTCTTGGCATTCAATTTCTTATTTTATCGAAGACAAAAAGAAGTGAGGCTCATAACCCTTTAGAAAGACACCAAGCTAAAAGAAAAAATGCCACTGAAGGTATCAAGTGTTTCCATCCTCCCAGGTGAAGGCAGGTGGCTCAGCAGTGCACGACACCCCTCCGCTTCCCGATCGACAAACCCAGGTCCCATCAGAGCCAGGTGGGAAGCAGGTCCTCAGCTCTGCACACGTGAAATAAGCAGATGGGGACACAGACGGGACAATGGTGCTGGTGGCCAGAAGAAATTTAAAAAAAAAAAATAAATCTAGCACACTTCCCTCTGTCCCAGTCGCACCACTCACGTCTATCATTGTCCGCCAGCCCTCCGTTTTCCCGGAGAGCAGGGGCTCCGGGCGAGCCAGCCCCGCGTTGTTGATGCAGACATCAACTCCTTGATGAAGGGTCTTGATGGCGGAGAACATCGACAGGATCTCCTCTTCGTTGGAGAGATCGCACTTGTATGGGATGAGGGTCCCTGGGTAGCCGGCGCTCTGGCATTCAGCTGCCAGTTTCTAGGGAAGAGAAAGGAAGGGAAAAAACAGCCATCAGCCTCCTCTCCTCCTCATGGAGCAGTTTTATCCAGCCATTTCCTTAAAAACACACCCCAGGGCTAATAAAACACAGCAAGCTTCCCAGCGAGCCCATCCTAAAAGCTTGCACTAGAGAAGAATCTTTGTAAGTGCTAATAAAGAAAGAACAAATATCGATATACGTGAGAGTCCGAGTGTTTCAGCCATGAAGTTATTAAACTTGAGGACACCCTCTGTGCTCATCCACCTCCCCAGGAAATGCAGGTCGAGGTGAGTAGGTGCTGGCAAAACACCAGTAAGTACTGCTGCGCCTGCCCCACTGCTGCGCGCATAAAAGATGCGGCGATCGCTTGCCTGACAATTCCTCATTAGCCATTACCAAGCATCCAAATCTTTTACCAGACTAGATGATATAAAGCAATGAAAGGCCAAGAGCTGCTGCTGACCGCCCGTGTGAATGATGCCGCAGCCACCGTGCCAAATCCTCTGGAGGATGCCCTTTACCCCCTGATGCTAATGAGAAGCAGCATCTCGTCTCTGATGTGTCACGTTAGCGACAGTGACAGCTTCCAGCGCAAGCCCACGTGATGTCTGGTTCCTGCGGAGAGATGGACTCTGGCTACAAACGTCCACCACATCACTCGAACGCCATCGCCCACGGCGGTTTCACCAACGTGACATTTCAGCGGGTGCAATAAAGCTCTCCTCCTGCCAGAGGCGGCTCTCCCGCTCCTCCCCACGTACCAAGGGCTGCGTTGGTTATCAAAGAAGGAGCGAGGCCCCAGCACAGGAGTCGCCTGCCTGGAAACAGAGGACAAGGGATGGCGATCACACATGAAGGTGGCTGCCGAGCTCGGAGCACAGCCCCTGCGCTGGAGCTCACCCACAAACAAGGATGCGGGGAAGCCGAAGCACCAGCTGGGATCACCCGAAACACCAGCGGGAAGCTCACGCTGCACGGGCACTGACTTTGGGTTTTTTTGTGTTTTTTGTTTTGTTTTTTTTTGCTTGCTGTGATGCACAGCATCACCTCCCAGGCTGGGTCAGCAGCTCCTGGTGCTTCAGGAAGACACATGGAGCAATTCCCACATTTTGGACAAGGCAGATGCTTGAAATCAGCCCCAACACCTGCACTGACACGGGAAGGAGCCTGGAGAGCCACGCTGGTGTCGACGCAGCTTGCTCTCATAAAAGCAGTGACAAATCAGAGCACCAAAGGTGACTTTCTCCCAGGGGAAGCTGGCAAGACCCAGGGTCCCCTGTCCCTTTCACTTAGCAGAGTTCATCTTTTGGTGGCTGCTGCAGGGAGTGATTTGCCCCCCAAAACACCCAGCATCAGTGACACTTGCAGACTTTGTCAGCCAGCCCAGTGTCCCAATTCTGAAATAAACATTAGACAAAAGAGAAAAAAAAAATACATGGAACATAAGGGAAAGTGGAAAGAGAAGGAAAAAAAATAAAAATCAGAGACAGCATGGCACCTGCTCCCCTGGCACAGGCTGGCAGGAGAGCTCATGGGGCTGCACCAGTTCACGAATACCATGGGACCTGGCGAATGCTAAACCAAAGCAGGGGCCCAGCTCCCATCCAGCTGGCCCCCAGCGTGTGCCATCCCACACGGCAGATGCCAGCACTGTCACAAAACCTGCAGGTCCTGGTCCCTGAAGTTTTGTTCGAATCGGCTCTCCGCTCCCCAGCCACCCAACACAGGACGGCCGCGTGCCTCGGGATAACAAGGAGGCCACCAAAGTGCAAAGACGGGAGAAGAAAAAAAAAATCCACCTAAAGATGTGAATGGGCTCCCAACTCCAAACCATAAAGCGTGCTCTTTGCCAATGGCTTTTTTTGGCCACCAGCTTTCTCTTAGCCAAGTTTTACACAAAGCAGGGCTGAGCATCCTCACTGGGAGGAGGACAGACACGCCAGGGCCTCCAAACCCCTCCCTTTTCCAAGCACATTTATTTTAATTACTCTGTGGCAAGTGGCTCTGTTTGGTGAATGATTTCCAACCTTTCTCAACACCCAAGACCACCGCAGAGGTGGGCTAAGTCCCTGAAAAGTGAGTTTAAGCTTTTCTGATTTGCCTTTCACAGCAACCCACAGCTTTCGTGGACCACAAGACCAAACCAGCCCAGGTTGAAGGCTCTGGTCCAGAAGCCACTCTCCTTTCTCCGCTCCATTTCAGTGAAGGCACCGCAGTAACACAGGAATTATTGCTCCAAGCGAGGAGAGGACAGACGTGCTGAGTTCAGCCCAGAGATCGATACATCCCAACAGCATCACACTCTCTGGAGAGCTCTGCTTGGGCTGACCCAGACAATACTCCTGCCCGACAGAGAACAAAGGCACCCTGGGGATCGAATCGTACCTCTCCATACCCTCCCAGGGCTGGTTTCACTTTGCCACACATGCAATCTTGTGGATTATGTGCTGATAGTAGTAGAAAAATACATACTTTTAAAAGATCAGAGTACACACTTGAGAAAACAGTTGGGGGCGGGGGAGAAATCTGCCAGAACAGCATTTAGAAAATTAAAAGCAGTTCGAAGGGCTGCTGGTATTAAACCACTTCAGGGATGGGGTCTTGCTCCTGCAAAGTCACAAGAGGGAAAAATAGGCAAGGGGCCATCAGCCACGTTCTTCATAACCTGACACCGAGGTGACAGCTTCAGCGCTCGCTCCATCCCTAAGGGATCCATCCCATCCAGTATCTGCTTGTAAAGCATCAGGGCTCGTGTCTGGCACGTCTTCTTACTAGCTCTCCAGCTCCTGGCCAGAAGTATGGTCTTAATTCGCTCTTTAGAAGAGGGCTGCAATTGCCCAGCCACGTTTAGTTTGCTTGAACGAGAGCTGGGTCAAGTTACCTTTCAAGGGTGCCTCACATCCTCCTTGCTGGTGTCTGTGCTCATCACAGGTAAAGCGGGGTGCTGTCTCTCAAAGCGAGCGTGCTCACGCACAGAAAAGAAAGGCAGAGCACCCGCCGGGTCCTGAGGCTGAGCATCGTGGCGTGTCCCAGGAAGGCTTAAAGTTCACGGCAGGAACCAGTCCTGCCAAACTTGAATCGAGCAACGCCCATGACCTTAAAATATGCGAAATACAAGCACAAGGGATTGGGTTGAATCTCCCAAAAGAGGACTCGTGCCAGGACAGCCGGCTGGGAGGAAGAAGGGCCCATCAGCACGGATGGGAAAGGACAGACAAGCTCATCTACTCCCCAGAGGGAAACGCCACGTTTAATATCTCTGTTTCAGTGTCGAGCTGTCACTTTTCACCGTTCGGGGAAACTTTCAGTGCTCAGTGTAGCTCCTCAGTGGAGGCAGGCAGGGTCTAAACACCACGGGCTGCAGTCCAGCAACTCCGATGAAGGAGCAGATGAAACAGGGAGTGCTCTGGATGGCAGCGGCTGTCGTAGTGGAGCTGCCCATTCCGTTTTACCAGTCAATCTCCTCAGCTTACGTCTTAGATACACCAAGAGAAAGCTCCTTCTCGCTCGGAGAAAGGCTTCTCTGCCACAACTGACCAAAGAAATCAAATACGTCTCACAATCTTTCTTTTCCTGTCTAGTGTCTCACAGCCCCAAATGAGACGAAACATGGATCCTTTCATCTCTCAGGCTACACTTGTGTTAAGAAATTCTCTTTGAAAATGAAGTGCCGAACGCCACTGACATCCAGGCGGAGCTGAACGTGCTTCACCCATCTCTAGATAAAGAGTCATCGCAGGCTCTTCAAAGAAACATCAACTGCGGGCAAGTTGGCAAGAGAAGATTTATGTACAGCACCGCTCTGAATTAGGGAGTTTGCAGTATTTTTTCAGAGCATCCGTTAAGTCACTCATTTGATGCTCATTCCACCCAGATGCACAAAGCGGAGCAGGGAAGAAAAAAGGTGGTTTCCCAGGTTTCATAAGCAACTTGAGAGTGACCACGTAACACGCTCTGAATTAGGGAGCTTGCAGTATTTTTTCAGAGTATCTGTTAAGTCACTCATTTGATGCTCATTGCACCCAGACGCACAAAGCTGAGCAGGGAAGAAAAAAGGTGGTTTCCCAGCTTTCATAAGCAACTTGAGAGTGACCACGTAACACACCAGGAACACAGATGAGGGCACCACAGCAGCTGGAGATGAAGATATGAAACAAGGCTTGAGCATCTCTCCACCACACCGTTATCACTGGATGCTTAGAAACAGGCAGCCAAGTGCTACAGCTACTGGTACAAACTGGGATAGCGTAACACAAAGCAGAAACAGATACCCTGTGTGTTAGAACATTCAGCCTAGAGTCACCCAGTGCCACGGATACAAGCCCTCGCCCCTGGAATTCTGATACGAGGCACCTGGCAAGTCCTGCAGCACCCGTGGAAGACCAGCTTTCCACCAAGGGCATCTAAACTCCTCGTGTGACATAATGAGCCGATACTACGGCGTGTACTAGATATGCGGGCTGCAACGTGCCTCTTGCTCAGGCACCAGTTTTTCCACTGCCATCACTGTGATTTATCTCAGCTTCCAGCCATGTTGGACGAATGCATGAGCAAAAGCAAAAAAAAAAACAACAACAACAAAACCACCTGACACCTACTTGTGTGTAAGTAAGACAAAGAGGAATATGTGATCATGATGCTTATGACATACTATTTAGTTCTCTGCTTTTGAAGGTCTAATAGGATGCCTCACATTTATGGGACATTTTCCATATGTTCAGAATACGCCAGTTCAACCAAGAAGGGGTTAATGCTCTTTGTGCCTACGAGGCTCCGGAAAGGGCACAGTGCCACGCATTTAGATTCAATCTTGGTCAAATGGTTTTACAAAACTAATTGATATAAACATTTAAGGGGACTCTTAAGGGGAAAGAAAAAAAAAAAAGTCATGTAGGGCTTTATTTGGCAAACCATCCTATTAACTTCAGACACATTTAGTTCAGAGAGATTAAAGCCTGAAGAAACCATTAGGTAATTTTTAATCTGGCCTGCCATTG